GATGGGAGTTGCCGGTGCATACGGTAGTGAATACCGTCAGGGCCTTCATGAGTGTTGCGGCACGATTGTAGGGCAGTAATGAGTTCAGAGGAAGAAAATGGAGCATTATAGGACTCAGCGGAGGATGGGGTGAAGGTAATGGGGGTACGTTCTCTGGTGGTCTTGATAGAAGAGAAGTGTGGAGAAAGGTGAGAGCCACTACTGACCTGGCTGAAATAATCACCCAGTTCATTAGCGACTTGGAGAGGATCAGAAATGAGGGTATCTCGAATATGGAGGACGGGGGCAGGATGGAGGGGATGTTTGCCTGATAGTTTACGGATTCGTCGCCATACACTTGAGATAGATGTAGAGGATGTAATTGATGAAACATAATTTCGCCAGCTATTTGTTTTACTATTCCGGATTGTACGACGAAGACAGGCAGATGCTCTTTTAAAGGAGATAAGGGCTGATAGTTGATTTGGAGTACCTCTCTTGTAGCGGTAACTGTTCCAGGCTGCACGTTTTAAGCGAAGTGCTTTAGTGCAATCAGAATTCCACCATGGAACACATTTAGAGGTATATGGTCTTGAGGTTCGAGGGATAGCTGTATGTGCAGCTCTTAAGACTGTAGTTGTGAAACATTGTATCATTTCTGAAATGGAGGAGAGGGAGGATGGAGGGGTATGAATAGCAGAGAGTGAAGTGAAAGTATGCCAGTCGGCTCTATCAAAGCACCAGCGGGGGAGTTAGGAAGTGGTACGTATGAAGTAGGAGAAAGGAGAACTGGAAAGTGGTCACTATAGGGAAAGTGGTCTAAGACTGACCAGTGGAAATCTATATGAAGAGAAGGGGAGCATAGAGAGAGGTCAATGCATGAAAAAGATTGCGTGCGTGTATCAAAGTGTGTGGGGCGATCTGAATTTAGAATAGTAAGGTCAGCTGTGGAGAGGAAGCGCTCTAGGGATCGGCCTCGGGAGTTGGTAATAGAATCAGCCCAAAGAGTGTGGCGGCAGTTAAAGTCGCCCACCATGAGGAAAGGTGGTTGAAGTTGGGAAATTAGATTTTCAAAAGCAACAAAGTCAATGGGATGGGAAGGGGAGAAGTAGACTGAAATCACTGTGATCCAACGATGAAGGAAGATACGAATAACTGTGCAAGGGACATTGGTTTGAAAGGGTGGTGTGACATAAGGTGTTTTCTGATTGATAAGTATGGACGAGACATAAAGGGAATGTGGGGAAGAGACAAAATGATAATTGGGGATTGGTATTGGAGGATGTGTAAGAAAGGTTTCTTGAAGGCATACAATAGATGGGTTATAAGAGGAAAGGATATGACGAAGGTCAGGTCTGTGGGAGCGGAAACCGCGAATATTCCAATGAAGGATAGTTATACTTTCGTTGATTTATAGATTGTAGTGCGTGTTGTAGAATTTGAAGGGGAAGCAGCTAAAGGGTGGGATAAGGACTGAGAGGTTTGAGATGGGAGAGGTGTGGGAGTTGGTGTTCTATCAGGAGGGGTATTAGGAGATGGAGGGTCTGAGGAAGGGGATACTTGTGACATAAGGGATTCACGTGTATATCCAGGAGGGAGTGGAAGGGATAGAGGGGATGGTGGGAGGGTTAATGTGGGCGGGGTTGGGGTCGGGGTCGGGGGGGATGGGCTGTGTTGGGAGGGGGTAGGAGGATAGGGTGTAGGGGGGATATCGTTAGGAGGGGGATGGATATCAGCAGTTACTTGGAGTGTGGAAGGAGCAGGGGTTGTAGGTTGAGTGTCAGTTTTCATTAAGTAATCTTGAATATTTTCAATAGTTTCTTCTGAGGAGTTGGTTGGGGAGTTGTGGGGGATAAAGGATTTCTTGTGAGGGGGGGAATGGTTAATGGTTAATAGTTAAAAGCAAGATAAATGTGCTAGATATCTAAGGTCATGTAGCACTATAGTTAATGTTAGTGAAGGGTGGTTGAGTTAGTGATTAGTTGTCTAAGCTGGGCAAAGGAATTAGTGAGTGAAAGGGTTAAGGTTGGGTGTTAGATTAGATAAAGGATATGTATAAGAAAGGTTTCTTGAAGGCATACAATAGATGGGTTAAAAGAGGAAAGGATATGACGAAGGTCAGGTCTGTGGGAGCGGAAACCGCGAATATTCCAATGAAGGATAGTTATACTTTCGTTGATTTATAGATTGTAGTGCGTGTTGTAGAATTTGAAGGGGAAGCAGCTAAAGGGTGGGATAAGGACTGAGAGGTTTGAGATGGGAGAGGTGTGGGAGTTGGTGTTCTATCAGGAGGGGTATTAGGAGATGGAGGGCCTGAGGAAGGGGATACTTGTGTGTATCCAGGAGGGAGTGGAAGGGATAGAGGGGATGGTGGGAGGGTTAATGTGGGCGGGGTTGGGGTCAGGGGGGATGGGCTGTGTTGGGAGGGGGTAGGAGGATAGGGTGTAGGGGGGATATCGTTAGGAGGAGGATGGATATCAGCAATTACTTGGAGTGTGGAAGGAGCAGGAGTTGTAGGTTGAGTGTCAGTTTTCATTAAGTAATCTTGAATATTTTCAATAGTTTCTTCTGAGGAGTTGGTTGGGGAGTTTTGGGGGATAAAGGTTTTCTTGTGAGGAGGGGAAGAGAGGACTGGTGTTTCAAGAGTAGGGGCAAAGGATGGTGGGGGTGATTGTGTGGTAGGGGAAGAGGGGGTGGAACGTTTGTTCCGTCTGTTACGGGGAGTGCGAGGAGGGAGAGGGGAAGGTGTTGGGGTTGCAGTGGTGATTGGAGTATCTGTAGTAGAGATTGGAGTTTCTGGATTTAGGATGGCAAAAGAGTTTGACTGGGGAAGGTAGGAAGTAGAAGTGGGGGGGTTGGATGTAGGAGGGGGGGGTTTAGGAGAAGTGTTAGAATGAGCAGTATTACTGGAGTAAGGAGTAAGAGAGAATCCACGTCGACGTGCTTCCTGTCTGGCTTCACGCAGTGTGAGTCCGAGTTTGAATCTGAGAGTTGCTACCTCAGATTCAAATTTGTAGGTGGGACAGCCCCTATAAAATACATTATGGGGGCCGCCACAGTTGGCACATGTGCGTGATTGTGCAGAGCAGTTAGATCGGGTATGGCCAGGTTGGGCACATAATGGGCATCTGGCTGTGGAACGGCAGTGTTTAGCTGGGTGTCCTAGACGCCAACAATTTTGGCACTGACGTGGAGGAGGTTGGTATGGACGAACAGGGAGGGATTCTCCTCCTATGTAGACGTTAAAGGGAAGGTCATGTCTACGGAAGGTAATTTTGGCTATGTTAGTGGGTTTCTTTCGATGACCTCTGGGGGGGATGGAGTAGCATTGTACTGATGTTGCATCGTAGTCTGTGAGACAGGCAAGTAGATCTTCTCCACAATCTGACCAATCTTTGTCATAGATTGGGCAATTTGTTGGTGAGATTGAGACTGTTCCGGTGCAAGTATTGAGGGTTGGATGGGGTTCTGCTAGGATGGGGTTACCATATAGGTCAGTTAGTTTTGTTAGTGCTATGGCTTGGTTTTCGGATGTTACTGTTACAAGACGGGAGCGGTCGGGTCGGCTACGGAAAGAGACTTTACCTACTTGTTTTTGGAGGCATTGTTGGAAGAGAAGGGTGTTGTTAGAGTAGGGTGCTGTGGGAGGGATCACGAAAAATCGGTCCCATTTGGCTGCACTGAAGAGAGTATTCAAGATTGTTTTAGAGATAGGGGTGGTAGAAGGGCGAGGGCGTGACGAAGATGGAGTAGTGTTGATGGAGGTAGTGTTATGGAGAGGTGGGCTATAAGGCTGTAAGGTATTAATAAGGGAGGTTGTGGGGGTAGAGGTGTTGAAGTTGGGCATGCTGGGAGAGTGGAAATGTCCCTTGAGGGTTGATTGTTGGCTACTGTACTAGTAGGCATTGGTGAAGGGGTAGTTATTGCAGTGTTTGGAGCCGTGGTCAAAGGAGAGCCTGGGGTCGGGGAATCGGGTGGGTTTACTTCGTTGGGGCTATTTGATAAAGGGGCAAGCCTCATTGCCCCTAACAGTGGGGATATATTTTCATTACTGGCCATGGGAAGCCTGGATTATGTTGGGGATAAAAGCAGTCCACCCCTCAGGGTCCCCTTGAGGGGTAAGGGCTAGATAACTAAATCAGGGGAATACCGTGCCCATGGCTCCCTCAGGCCGTTCAGGACTGGCACAAAGTCAGCCTTTCATCCTTTCAGCACGGCTCTCACACCTTAGGAGGTGGATAGCAGAAGGGTTTGGTGAAGGGACAGAAACAAAAGTGGGAAGGGAAAAAAAAAGACCATGCATAATTAGTTGAGTCGAGGGCTGAGTCCCAAGGTTGGGGAGTTCCCCATCATTGGGTCCCAGTCTCCGCCTCCTAAGCCCCCCCACGACAACAACGGGCAAGGGATTGGGGGGGAAGTGGGAAGGGAAAAAAAAAAGACCATGCATAATTAGTTGAGTCGAGGGCCGAGTCCCAAGGTTGGGGAGTTCCCCATCATTGGGTCCCAGTCTCCGCCTCCTAAGCCCCCCCACGACAACAACGGGCAAGGGATTGGGGGGGTGAAGGGGCAGAAACGAAAAGTAGGAAGGGAAAAAAAGACCATGCAAAATTAGTTGAGTCATGGGCTGAGTCCCAAGGTTGGGGAGTTCCTCTTCACTGGGTCCCAGTCTCCGCCTCCTAAGCCCCCCCACGACAACAACGAGCAAGGGATTGGGGGGAATGGATAGCAGGAAGGGTTGGAGAAGGGATGGAAACGAAAAATTAGTTGAGTTAACGGCTGAGGCCCAAGGCAGGTGAGATCCCCAACACTGGGTCTCAGTCCTCTTCTCCAAAGCCCCCCCCCCCCCCCAAGACAATAACAGACAAGGGACTAGGGGGAGCAAGGAATTGGGGGTCATAACTAGTACATTGTTCTTTTTCATAATCTGGGTGTCTATGTTGTCATCAGTTACTTGGTCAATCTTTGCAGCAATATCTTCCACTGTACATACCAACAGTTTACAAGGTAAATAAAACAAAGTA